TTGGACTTTTATCCACAAGTCATGCCAAGTTTGATTGATTTTTATGTGTTCTTTTTTATGGTGTATAAAGCCATTGTTTCTAATGATGTCCTTATTTCAAATGTACTCGTTTATTTAGGGTTTGTTGACGAGGCTTAGAGTAGATAAACTGGAGAAGAGAAATGAAGTAGAAAAGTGTATGGCATTAAAATGAAATTTTCAATTTACACGTGCCCATTTAATGTAGCTCGAGGGCCCGAGCATGCCCCGAGTTCGTGATTCATACACAGAGAAGTAGAGGGAGGTTGCCCCTTAGAGAGGCCTAGGTTGTCAGACTGTAGGGCTAGTCCCACACTTGCTTGGATGTGGCACTTCAGAATATCTCGTGTAGAGGGAGGTCCTTTGGCTTCTTCTCTCATGAAGGAGTTGCCAATCCATATCCTGAGTCTTTTCCTAAGAGGTAGGAATGGGTAGAAGCGATGATAGAGCTTTCCATGGAGTCTTGTTTCTCAAAAGGAACATTCAAGCTGTCTTTCGACTTTCAACTCGAACAAACATTGCTTTTTTTTTTTGCCTAGTATGCCCTTTGTGGGTTTTCATTTTAGTAGCTTCTTAACAACCAATGCTTCTCTCTTGTTGAAATCATCTTTCAAGAAAGCTCTATTCACTTTTCCTCTTGAGGGATTTGTCCTCCTTAGGTTCTCTTTCTTAGCTTACAACTCGTTAGGAGTGTGGATTCGTCCATTCCTATTCCGCTTGGATTTCACAGTTGCACGACACGGCTTTATTTTCTTTAGGGCAAATTTTTAGTTATCTACAGAATATTACCTACGAAACCTTCTCTATAAATAATGTTATCTACGGATAAAATTCATAGATAACAACTTTCGTGGGTTATCTATGGAAAACTTTTCGTAGATAACGTTATCTACGGATAAATTTTCCATAAATAACATTATTTACGGATTTTCCTTAAATAACCTTGGCGGAATGCAGGGCAAAATTTTTTATGCTCTAAGTGGTGTAAAGAATATTTGGTAAAAAATAAATATTATTAAAAATTGTCATTTTAAATTTATATTGTAGCATTTGGTTGAAATTTTTGTACACTTTAACTCTGTTCAGATTGGATCATGTATATGTATATTCTAGTGTGTTGTGTTTCTAGTGTGTGGTGCCGTGTGTAGTGACCAGCCGGATCGTTACACTTTAGTGGTATCAGAGCAGTTCGAGTCAGTGGACACTCTTTGGGGGTGGTCCCTTTAGGCTTTTGTTGTGCTAGCTTTGTGTTGTGCTGTCTTGCTGTGATGTTTGCTGTGCTGAATTTGCTGTGATGATTTGTTGTGCTGTTGATTGTTGTTTGGGTTAGTTGTTGTTTACTAAAGATGCTGTTACTTTTATAGACGATGACTAGGACCAACGAGCAGATAGCCCGTGCCATAGAGATGATGGCTATGGCTATGCAACAGTAAAATGCCTATTTTACTAGGATGGAGGCTGAGAGAGATGCGGCTGGTGCAGCAAGACCTACAGGGTCACAAGAGAGTCGGGACCTTGCTGAGTTCCAGAAATGCCATCCTCCACAATTCACGGGAGATGCAGGTCCAGAGGCAGCTGACCGCTGGATGTGTGAGTTGGAGAAGATCTTTGCTGTTCTGGGATGTTCTCCAGAGAAGCGACTGACATATGCTGTATATATGCTTGTGGGAGAGGCTAAACATTGGTGGAGAGACACCTATCAGATGCTTGCTGCTAGAGGAGTCACAGTTGATTGGGAGTGTTTTAGGACAGTGTTCATGGAGAAGTACTTCCCTGAGAGCGTGAGGCACGCTAAGGAGGCCGAGTTTATGAGATTACACCAGGGAGGGATGATAGTTTCCGAGTATGCGATAAAATTCGAGCACTTGGCTCGTTTTTATTCGCAGGGTATAGCTGAGGCCTGGAAGTGCAGAAATTTTGCTGATGGGTTGAGATATGAGCTGAAGAGGGTGGTGGTGCCTATGGCCATCACTGAGTTCCCGGCCTTAGTAGAGAAGGCAAAAGTTGTAGAACAGTTGGAGAGTGGTAACCGTGTCGCGAGGATTGCTGGGGGACCATCTAGGTCCAAGAGGGGCGAGAGTCAGAGGAAGTCGTATGATAGGCCCCAATCACAGCAAGGGGGTCCTGTCAGTAGGCAATCTTCCAGTATTGCTAGTGGAGGTAGACAGAGTGGAGGTGCCACTCTTAGATATTTCAGGTATGCTGGGCCTCACTTTGTCAGGGACTGTCCGTACACGGAAAGTCGTTGCTTCAGATGTCATCAGATGGGCCATGAGTCAGCCAACTGCCCTGCTAGAAGCATACCAGATAGGAGTACTCAGAGGAGTGATGTGCAGAGGGTTGATACTCAGAGGAGTAGCGCGCAGAGAGCTGATACTCAGAGGGGTGACAGACCCATTACTGCTGGTAGGGTATTTGCCTTGACAGGTGTTGAGGCTTCGACTTCTTCTGATCTTGTGAAGGGGAAGGGCAAAGCTACTAGTAAGGATGTGATGATTCTCTTTGACTCTGGTGCTACGCATTCCTTTATATCTTATGCTTGTGCTGCTATGTTGGGTGTGCCTGTGTGTGATTTGGGGTTGAGACTGCTGGTGTCGACACCCGCTTCTGCTTCTGTGATTGCTTCTGAATTGTGTGTTGGTTTCCCGGTTGTGGTGAATGAGAAGAAGTACAAGGTGAACCTGATTTGTTTACCTTTGGTGGATATTGACATAATCTTAGGGATGGATTGATTGTCTACCAATCGCATTCTTATAGATTGTGCCAATAGGAGGTTGATTTTCCCTCAGGAGGAGAATGAGTTGTTGATCTCAACTGGCCAGGTTGAGTCTTTGCTGAGAGATGGAGCAAAGTGTTGTCTTCTGCTTGCTGTTATGAGTGTGGAGACCAAGAGGGTCTTAGCTGATATTAAGGTGGTAAGAGACTTTGCTGAGGTATTTCCTGATGAGGTGCCAGGGTTGCCTCCTGTTAGGGAACTGGAGTTCAACATTGACTTGGTTCCAGGTGTGGAACCAGTGTCAGTCACTCCCTATAGGATGGCTCCTGCTGAGCTGGTAGAGCTGAAAGGTCAGTTGGAAGACCTATTGGAGAAGCAGTTGGTGCGACCGAGTGTTTCGTCGTGGGGTGCTCCGGTGTTACTGGTAAGGAAGAAGGATGGAGGTAGTCGATTGTGTGTTGATTATCGGCAGCTGAACAAGTTGACCATTAGGAACAAATATCCACTTTCCCGAATAGATGACTTAATGGATCAACTGAGGGGAGCGTTTGTGTTTTCCAAGATTGACTTGAGGTCAGGATATCACCAGATTAGGGTAAAGGAGGGTGACATACCAAAGACTGCTTTCAAGACTAGGTATGGTCAGTATGAATATGTTGTGATGCCGTTCGGTGTGACCAACGCCCCCGCAGTGTTCATGGACTACATGAACAGGATCTTCCGACCGTTCTTGGATAAGTTTGTTATGGTGTTCATTGATGACATCTTGATTTATTCAAGGACCCGGGAAGAACACGGTGAGCACTTGAGGACAACTAAGTTAGAAGCTTGTAGCACAAGCTTCCCAAGTGTGCAAGCAAACTACTAATTCGGCCAAAGAAGAAGAATGGGCGGCATATTGTTTCCAAAAAGTTCTCCAATCCAAAAATCTTGGAATTGGTTTAGTTAAGTTCACCAAATGGTGGTGAGACCTAACTAAATCAATTCTTTGGAAAATATGGAGAAAAACAAGTCCAATATGTAAAATTTGGCCTAGGCCCAATCTTGGCCCAATTACTAATTGCACCTACACACATTACTATTTGTCACCCCACTTCTACTACTGAAAATATAAAAATGGATGACCCTTAATACAAGGTCAAATGGAGTAAAAGTCTCCAAGTAACATACTTTAAATTCTTAAAAGAATATCCTATAATGAAAGAAAGAAAAGTGTCTCACAAAGGCAAAGACAAAAATGAACCTATACAAGAACTACTATATACAAGCAAGCTAGACCATCTCTTCAAGATGTGATGGCCCACATGAAAAGGGAGCTCCTTCCCTTCATAACAGAGGTCCATGTCCTTGTTTATATGCCCCCGGACGAAATTGAGTATCTAGATACCTCACCATTTTTTAAGTTGAGCAAATGTACCATGATATTTTAAGAAGCTACTGAAGACTAACTCGTAATCTTTTGTTCAAAAAGTGAAGAAAAAAATGAATCCACTGCTTTGGTGGTTGGTACGGAGAGCTGATTACCCAACAAATTAAACTTCTGGATGGTCTTATTCTGGATATAGCAGTTAAGGAATTTGAATTTGTCTTGCAAGCCTAGACTTGGTTCAGAAAAAAAAAACCCTGAAATGTTGTAGCCTTCATTGACAAGATCATGAGCTAGCATGGCATTATGCTGTCATAAGTTCATGTCATCTACCTTTTAAACAACATGATCTCACTACCGTCATATTTAATTGCAACATGATAATCTTTTTGTTAATTATCAATGTCACATAAGAAATCTGGAATTGTCTTACAAGCCTAGATGTAGCTTAGGCAAAAAATCTGAAATGTTGTAGTCTTTAGAGGGAAAATCTTGAGCCAACATGGCATTAGGCTATCATAAGTTCATAATATCTACCTTAAAACAACAGGGTTACGCTACAACATAATATTTGTTTGTCGTTTCATAATAATCTTTTGTTGTTTGTCTTATATCTATAATATATAATTATGTACCGTAGGATTTGCCAAAACTTAACCACTGTACAGAACTCCTGTCTATGAATGAAGAGTTGAAACAAGCAAGAAAGGTTTTTGAATCAGAAGAATTCGATTGACGAATAAAAAATCCTAAAAACAAATAGTCATTTAGATTTATTAAATAGTGACAATAGTTTATAAAATATTTCAATTTCATGTATGTATACATTGTAATATGTATTGTTTATTATTTTCTTATATAAACAGATTAAGTTGATTGCACTAGAAAAATTATAAATCTACTTGATTGCTTGATAATTAGATTAATTATATAGTTAAAATAATCTAATAATTACTATATGTTTTCATTTATTGCATTCATTATTATTATATATGATAAAATTTGACGAAAAAAATTATGGTAAAAGAAATTTTATCAATACATTTATGAATCTAATTTTAAGATTTGGATGACATGGGTCAAATCTGCACTAGCTTTTACCTATTGTTTGTTTCAAGAGATTTTGCATAGAGTGAAATTACTTTTTAATATGCTTTTTTTTTAATTATATGAGTAACTAATTTTTAAGTGAATTTTAATGAGTATATGAATCTTAAATTTTAAAGATTTTAGTAATTTTTTAAGAAAGTAGATATTATTAGTGGTCATTTTTTTGTAAATGTATAATAAAATAGTTATTCTTAAATATGATAAAGTTTTACTTTATAAATTAACTAAATAATTTTAAAATTTTAGTACACGCGGAGAAAACAAGTGCATGATATTTAACATTCTTATCTTTTCAAGTGTGAAAAGTATAATTTAAAATAATAACAAGGAAAATTATTTGACACTTAATCAAATTTAAATTATCCCTAACTAAAAAATAACAAAAATAATAAAAAAATTATAACTAACTGATTTAAATATATAATTCAAAAGTATATTGTAAGGTATGTTAGTTTTGTTCAAATAGAAATATATATATATATATATATATATA